GAAGATGTAATACCCATATTAGAGGCAATTAGGCTTGCCCCTTCATCAAATAGCCCCACCAGTTCAAACTCTCCCGGCTCCCCGACCCCAGGCACTCCTTTGACCACAACTCTAAAAACTACAACTACTACCCACTCCTCAGTGCCTACTAGTGCATTATCCACGCAAGTCGAGACTCCTATTCTCCCAACTTCCTCAACTTCATCAACTCTACCCCCACAGCCTTCTTCACCAATCACCTCATCTTCCCTTATTACTACCTTTACAGTCTTTTTCTCCATCTCTCTGTAATACTACCCCCCTCAACAATAATCCCTGTTCCACACATCCCCGTCCTTCTACCACCCACAACTCTACCGATATCTTAAATACTCTATTTAGCCCAGTCAAATGGGACTAATTTTTTCATGATCCTCCCTACAGCTCCTTACTCAGGCATCACTCTTCTCTTTCAACAATGTCTTCAAAAGCAAGTGGCCAGAGTCCCCTTCCATACCCGCCCTGATCATTCCCGTTTCGTGACAGTTACATCTGAAACTGAAGCTATAGCATTATCAGATCTAACTGATTTCTCTGGCAACCCCATTCCTGCAGAACCTCATTCACCTCTTAATACTTGTACTGTCTCTATCTTCCCAGTAAGCTGCCCTATGGATATCGATTGGTCAGATTGTGGAGAATACCTACTCAGCTGCCTCAAAGACCATGATATCAGTACAGTGTTACTCCATTCCCCCTAGAGATCATCAAAAGAAACCCACCAACATTGCCAAAACTACTTTCCATACACTTGACCTTCCCTTTTGTATCTACATTAGTGGACAATCCCTCCCTGTTCGACCATACCAACTTCCTCCCATCAGACCGATGCCCCTATGTGCCCAACCTGGTCATAACCAATCAAACTGCCCTGCACAAACACGCATGTGTGCTAAGTGCGGCAGCCCCCATAATGTATTTTATAGAGGCTGTCCCACTTACAAGTTTGAGTCTGAGGTATCAACTCTGATACAAAAATGGTCTCACTCTGCGTGAAGCCAGACAGGAAGCATGCTGACAAGTTTTCTCTTATACCTACTACTCTAGTAATGTCGCTCGCTCTGCCCCTCCCCCTCCAACCCAGGATGTTCCTACACCCTCCCGTATACCTACTTACTTCCCCACTTCCACTTCTACATCCTACCTTCCTCAGTCAAATTCTTTTGCCATGCTAAATCCAGACACTCCAATCTCAACAGCCCCAACACTGTCCTCTCTCCCTCCCCGCACTACCCAGACAGACTAACGTTCCACTCCTCCTATCACACACTCCCCTCCACCTACCTTTACCCTTATTCCTCAGACACCAGTCTCCTCTTCCCCTCCTCATAAGAAAACCTTTGTCTCACAAGTCTCTTCAACCAACTCCACTGAAGAAACCATGAAAGATATTCAAAGCTACATGCTTAAGAGACAGATTTCCACAACTCATGCTCCCTCCACACTCGAAGTGAGTGCAGATCATCCTCCTCCTACTCATATTCCCCATACTTCCCTTCCTCCTACTCATATTCCCATACTTCCTTCCTCCTACTCCCTCCCAACGCAACCTATCCCCTCAACTCCGTCTTATACCGATATCCATCCTCCTCCTACTCATATTTCCCCCTACACCACTTCCTCCTACTCCCTCCCAACACAACCCACCCCCCTCAACTCCAACTTCACTTACATTCTCTCTCCCTCCATCCCCTCTATCATTCCCACTCCCTCCTGGATACACACATGAAACCCTTATGTAATTCCCTTACCTAGACCCACCATAGCCCATTCACACATCAACTCCTTTACCCATCTTTAACCTTTCAAGATTACTCTAGATAGTTGATGCATAGCAACTATCACCCTTCATCCCTCCTTTAATTTACTTTTCTATAGTGCTATGTTACCTTACATGTCTAGCACATATATTTTGCTTTTAACCATTAACCATTAACCATAAAGGCTGGGTGCATTTTTTACATGTTTTTTTCATATCTAGAGTTAAAGTATCCAATAGGTGAATGATATCCTTGCCTAGTTCCATAATTACTACTTATATATATAAATTATGTAGGAATTATCAGCACTAAGGCTGTATGTCCTGAGAAATATATCTTCTTTCAGCACCTGACTCATAAAATACTTCCTAATTGAACTGTAGGTGACTATGCACTTGCGGAATTGTCTGTGTGTTAAAAAAATCCTCTAATGGAAATGGCACATTACTGGCCAGTCCCTTTTTTATTTTGCCAAATGACATTTTTTTTATTATTATTATTATTTGATCATGACTTGTATAGTGGTTTATACTCCATATTACAAGATGTACATGCCAGTTTACTGTTTTTAAGTAGTTGTTTGGTTTCACAGAAGGGCAGAAACACTCAATTTGATTTTTTGTTTATTCCTGCTTCAGTTGTAATATAAATACATTAATTTACCAAATGGTGAGTTCCCTGATGTCTATGGAACTCCTTGAAGCAAGGAACTTGGCAGAGGGAGACACTTTATACAACATTTCTGCCTTCAGCAGTGTGCACACCTCCAACACCGAAATGGTGTATCATCTGGCATGTGAACCACTTGCAGAGGGGGAGCATCATCATCAGCAGCAGCAATTTTTGCAGCAGTAGTACGGATTAGAGAAGGAATAAGGATGGGAGCTGAAGGGTACCTTGTCTTTTTGCATTTATAACCCTGTGGTTTGCCAGGGAATTCACCATTGTCATATCCAGCATTTAGAAAACTATCTTGTTGTACCATTTAATGGTCTTTCTGGCTTCCAGGTATGTTTGTGACAAATGGTTGCTCAGGTCAACACCCTTCATCCAGTGTTTTAGTCTGTTACTACCTTGGGCTTTGTTCACTCAATTTCCCAACAGTTTGATAACAGAATATCAATCTTGCTAGTGTGGGAGACAGACACATTGTCACTAGCGGCTTGTTCATCCATTGCAGATTTGTAATGGCCGTTGTGGTATAGCAGCTGTCAACGTTGCCTAATTCCTTCACCTGTGTTTCTGTTATCATGTCCTTCTGTTGTTTTGGTAACAAGGTGACCATCATGCTAGTATGGTTCAGACAACATTATCTCTGGCTGCTTGTCCACCCATTGCAGTTCCGTCATGGCTGTTGGTGTGCTGTGGCTGTTGACATTGCTTCTTTCCTTCACTTGTAAATCTGTTGGTTGGTGCTTTCTGTTGCATTGCACTGCAACGTGCAATGCAATAGCACTTGTCTTCCTTGCCTGCAAATAATGGAACAATGAAGGGGACGAATACCACTTACTGGTGTGAAGCTCATGCCCTTCTCCATTAGGTCAGTCACTGTCTTCATACTGGCAGGAAAATTCCCACAGTCCTGTCACATGTACAACTTGATGGCAGTGGTGTACCAGCACATTTAGTATAATATGATACCCCTCCGTGTCCTATTAAGGACATACTAGAGTGCCTAATTTCACCCCCAGAAGGCCCACAGACTGCCATTCATGTAATGGACTTGCTGGGGATGAAAACTGAAGTAGATTATCTTTCTAGGATGTTGAGGTCATGTCTGAATATCCACAGCTAATCACACTCTGGGCGCCTGGACCCATTGGAAATGAAATGAAAAGCTGATGTAAGGGCATCAAACCAATCCATGGCAGGGAAGATTGACGCCTTTGAGAACAAACTGTAAAAAGTTAGCCAGACATTATTAAAATCAAATGTCAAGCTGACAAAAGACTACCATGACCTGTGCTCTCCCTCTTACATGTTTTTATAGCCAGCTGGGGCACTCTATTTGTCCCGGAGTTCAGGGCAAATGACCAACATCAGATCATGTAACATGGTGCAAAAAATAATATGATATGATAAGAGTCACATGATATTACCACATGTCCAGTCACATCACGTCATGTGACATGATATAATAAAGCCTGGAAATTTTTAAAATTATAAAATGACTTTCTTAACAATCCATTATAAGGGTGTTCCACTATGACAGACATTGCCATCACTGATGTGACAAGTAGAATGAATTGTGATTAAAGCCATACTTGGGTTAAGTAGCCATTTCAGAGCCCTTATGTGTGTTAATGCCTATTTGTCTCATAACTGCTTCATACATCTTACGATTTTTACATGTAAATTTCATTTGGTTTTGGAAAGAAACTTGGAAATAATGAATAATACCAACAATAATCACTGTCACTCTGGCTCAGTAGCCTCACCATCCATACCTGGAGTTATTCCTAAACATAACTAACTATAGAATGCCATTTCATGTTCTTTGCTATTCTTTCTAATTTAGTGTTGTTACATGACCCCTCTGTGTCTTCCATGATGCTGCCTATTTACTACAGTTCTTATCTTCTACTCAGTTACATGCCTTCTGTTTTTTTTTTCTCTTTCTTTTTCTTCTTTTCTCTTTTCTCTTTTCTTTTCTCTTTTCTCTTTTCTCTTTTCACTTTTCACTTTTCTCTTCTTTTCTCTTCTTTTCTCTTCTCTTCTCTTCTCTAGTGGCTGGTAAACTTTTAGTTCCTTTCCTCTCTTGGTGACTGAACACTTGTGAAGTCGTCTATATTTAAACACAATTGATAAACTAAGCTGGACTTGGTCATCCATCATTTTCCCCACACCAGCCCATTGTGCTTCAGTTCATCTCCTTTCTCAGTATTTATGTTTTATCTCAGTATTGGAACTGGGTTCATTTGCATTGATTACTATGGAGGCTCACAATCCATTGCTATTTTTTTTTTTTTTTTTTTCATGGAAATCTTAATAAGATAGATATTATTTTTCCTGTGACCTATTTCCATGGTTTATCAATTTTTTTCTGCTGTATTGTTATGAAATTTCAATGAACTTGAAAATTCCTTGCGAAAATGAGAGAATTTGCCCCTGCTCATCTTTAGTAAAATTGTTTATGTAGATGTAGATTTTCTGGCCTATTGACTGTGGTGTATCTTATTGACCATTTGTATTTATTTTCAGAGAAAAGAACAGATTAATGTAAGCAGAAATAAGAGAAGACGCCATGAACCAGATTCATCAGATTCAGACTCAGATGCAGGTTGGCTCAAGGGAGAAGCGGCTGCAGTGAGGCAGTGCTTTGGTCCTCAGTGTGTAAAAGCAGCACGGCCAAACAGCAAGTACTGTAGTGATGAGTGTGGCCTAAAATTAGCAGAAGCAAGGATTTATTCAGTAAGTTAAGCAGTTGTTTTTACCCCCCCCTCCCAAGAAAAAAGAAAAAAAAAATTACTTAAATTAATCACAGGTCATATTAATCTTGATACAGTAATATAGGTAATTCATTCATCTCCTTAGGTATTACCACAACGTATTCAAGAGTGGAAGATGATGGAGTGTGTAGCTGAAACCCGCGATATCAGGCAACTTGAAAAGATCAGAAAGCAGCAGTTGGAGGCTCGGGAAGTACTTCAGCAGCTTGATCAGAGACATTTGGTAAGAGCTCATTATACACTGAGAGTTTACCTTTTCAAGGTAAACATGTTGATGCTATTGGACGTGATGATGTATATGTTCAATATTCACCCTAAAAGAAACAGAATATTATATTGTTTGTTGATCATGTTTATTAGGATGATATGATTTATGTTTCGTAGCCACATATATCTTAATGTTGTAGAATAAGTATATTACAAATACTGTGGATAAATTATTTTGCTTAACTGAATAATGTTTTAGCTATATTGCCCTGATATTTCATTCTTAAACAGGATATTGACAAATTGCTTGAGCGAGGAAAAAATGAAAAGATTGACCCTAATGCAGATGATGGCGGTGATGATGATAGTGGAGACAGTGCTTTTATTTATTGTGTCACCTGTGGCCATGAAGTACCTGCCAGAAGAGCAATACGTCACTTGGAAAACTGCTTCAACAAAAAGATTCATTAAAAACTTATTATTATTATCATAAAATATATATTTTTATTTTTATTATTTATTTATTTATTTATTTTATTTTTATTTTGATACACAAAGACATTTTTTTTTTCTTTTTTTTTTAAAAATGGATGGAATGTTTTTGTTTATAAACCCTCCTGTTGAAACTTTTTCTCTTATAATGTAATTTATAATGTGGCTTTGATATTTGGAGAGAGAGAGAAAAAAAGAGATAAAGAAAGGAAATGTTATGTTAGGTTATTTGTTAGCATTCATATAAAGTGTAGATGATTATATGATGCACTACCTATTTTGAAAACCTTTTTCTTCTGTAATGTAACTTATAATGATTGGCTTTGATATTTGAGAGAGAGAGAGAAGAAAAAGTAAGAGATAATTTAAAGGAAATGTTAGTTAAACTGTATTTATTGTGTTAGGCTTATGATTAATCATATATTGCATTTTAGAGAAAGTGAGCCTCTAAGGTACATGTGAATGATTGTGTTAGAGTTGCAATAAGCATTTTTAAAGTAGTCAAATCTTATTTTCTTTTTCGTATTATTATTAATAACCTTTTTTCTGTATTTTTGCAGTTGGAGAGTCAAACAACATTTGGATCTATGTACAAGACTCGCATTGAAGGCAACAACATGTTTTGTGACTTCTATAACCCCAGTAGCCTTACCTATTGTAAAAGATTGCGTGTGATGTGTCCTGAACATACTAAAGCTCCCTTAGTGTCTGATGTAGAGGTTAGTTGTATCACTAGAGATATGTTTCTTCCATTGTTTAAATACATTTCATG